TATAATAAAACAAGCCCTCATAACTTATATCTTTATATTGGATATTTTAAATTTAAATTTTAGAATAGATAGAAAAAGTTATTTTTTATTATATATTTTATCATATGAAGTTTGATATTTTAAATTTAAAGATAAAAAAACTATTTTTGTTCTATATAGTCCTAGCTTAAGAGGGATCATTAAAAAAGAAAATCCTATTTTGTAGATCAAACTGCATAAATATTTTTTGTTTAAAAAAAAAAATCCATGCTTAAGGGAAATTAAAGAAGCACTGTTTCGATTTGAGCAGTCATGCACTTAAGCATTCTAAGGCTGCCGCGTTTAATTACTTTTTAACCTATAATGGAGCAATGTTTTTTACACAAAAATAACGAAGTTTGAATTTATTTTTAATTTTTGTTGGATAACTTGTAACAGCAAGTTGTTGGTGCACATAAAAAAAAGAATCGCCCGTGTAAAATAAAAAAAATTATTACTTTTTAAATTTCTATAATTATTAATAACCAAGTAATATCTTAAAATAATAAGAGTTTAGTTTAGTTAGATGTATTATTAAGGACATGCCTTTTTACGTTTTACATAACTTAAAAAATACAACAAGCAATATTGCAATAGATGAATGGGTGTTTAGGTGAATTGATGTTTATTAGTTCAAAAACAAAAAGTTAACTTTGTGTGGGGAAATATATTCTCTAATATTAAACATCATAAATAAGCATGGAATAATAAGATTTTTTTAAAATTTACTTGTTAATTTTTATTCACTTCAAAATTAATTTTTTCATAAATGTTTTTGCAAATACACTCTTAGATCAATTTAGCACATTTAAAATTTTAATTTTTTTTTAAGTGTTAACTCAAAATTTAAACCATAAACTTAATTTAGAAAAAAAAATACTTGTCCAATAGTAGATTAAACTTTTAAAATTAATAATATGTTTTTCTAACAACTAAAAGGCATTTTCATCCAAGTCGTTTATGGCTTTGCCGGTTCCCCCCAAAAAAAAGTATAGTCTGTCATTTTATTTCCGTACACAGAAAATTCCATCGTTTTAGAAATTTTATAAAATTACCGAAATGATAATTTCTTCCAAAAGTATAGTGACCGTAGCTAAAAACGGATTCATCCCAAAACATTTAAAAATTTCCAGCATTTTAAAAAACGTCATTGGCGGGTAATTTTCCACAAAACTTTTTAACAAATTTCCCGCCATTGTGCTAACATTTTCGGCCTCTTTCTTCCGGTCGTTGATGAGAGCAAAAGCGTGATATACACACCCATACCTTTCACCACGGATACGTTTAAATCGGGATCCTCGATTCTGAGTTGACTCATTGCCCCTGCTTCGTTCAGTTATTACGTCATTTATCCGCGTTTTCATCCCTTTTATCTTATATTTTATTAAAAAGGTATATACATATATATAATTACGTTAAACAGTTTTTTTTTTATACATAATTATTTGGATCTTAATTTTTATGATTCTATAGTGAAATTGCATATTT